GGCCGCGGGCGCCGCAGCTCACGGCGGCGGCCCGGCCGAGGCGGCGCCGCGCTCCGCTCCGCCCCACAGCGCGGGACGGCAGCGAGGGGCGGGCGGGGGCTTACACCGCCCCGCCAGAACGCATCGCTGCCCGCCCCGCACTTCTCCCCGCTCCGCCCCCGCCGCGCTGCGAGAGCTCCGGTACCGCCGCCGCCACTGAGGGGCGGCCCCGAGCGGCGGCTCCCGCCCCGCGCTCGCTATTGGCGGCCCCTCCGCCCGGCCTCGGTCTGCAGCGCTCCGCCCGCTCCGCCCGGCCGCCTTCGGAGAGAGCCCGGACTGTGCGGTACCGGTACCGGCACCGGCCCCGCAGCGCTTCTAGGAGCGGGTCTCTGCCSAGGCGCTTCCGTCGACCCTGCTCCGGCGGGAGGCTCCTCAGGGGGTACCCCTCGGACAGCGGAGCTGCGCCGGTAACGGAAAGAACCGAAGATGGAAAAAAGCCCTGAAAGGCCTGAGAGGGGTCTGGGCCCAGCCCCGCTGCCGTTAGCTAGGTCTGTGCAGAAACTCGGAGTTCTCAAAGGTCCTCCAAAAATACTAAAAAAGAAACCCTCACGCTGGAYCTTCTGACAGAGCACAGCACAAATCGATTCGCCCGCAGTTCTTCACAAGGTGTTTGTAGCCGGTGCCCGATGCTCGGGCGGCCCCCAGCCCACGGCAGCACCGAGCCGGCAKCTGGCCGGCCACGGGCCCCGACACCCCCTGCCCCGGGTGAGAATCAAAACGGGCAGGGCTTTCTCCTGACTCGTGCRTTCTGAGCCACAGCGCTATGTGAAKGGCAGCTCCAGGCAGCACCGGTGCTTTAAAGACGACATCCCCAAAAGGCGCCTGAAAAGGCACGGACGGCGGGTCCCGAGTGGACAGCGCACCTGTGGGACATTGTGGGCTGCCCGATGGGCTTCCACAGTGCCCAGTTACGGGCAGGAGTTTTCTCCGCGGTTTCCTCTGTCCCCGACGGAGCTCGGAGCACTCGCGGGCTGTTCTCGAGTTACAGATGCCCTTAGCGACTCTCGTGTCCATTGATCTCTCTACCCGGAGCTCTCGCACCAGTTCAACCTTTCCCACCACGCACAGGATATACACAGCCCTCCTCCCCGGGCAGCGGGGAGCCTGGAGCTGCTGGACGGCTGCACCTSGCTCAGACCAATCCCTCCACAACAGATGACACTGATGAGGTTTTGCTGAAATGTTTATTAACMGCACGGATCTGACACTGCAGCAAAAGCTTTTACACTCAGAGTGCGGATAAAGCACAAATTCACCCGGTGTGTGTCTTGCCGGGTAGCACACTATTTAATAAAGGCAAACAAACAGTACAGGAGCTAAATGTGTAACCGATCTTCATATTCCTTATCAAATACTTCTCCCACACTTTCTGCAGGGATATTAACAGGCAAGCTCTCTTTCTGGAGAAGCTTCTAAGCCCCTTCAAAGTGAAGGGTAAGATCTGTAGCAGGAAGGCTCCTCTCTTCGCTCCTTGCTCCTCCGAAGAACAAACCTTATCAGGGCAGGGTGGCAGGGGGACAAGAGCAGGGAGCTCCCCTGGTGTGACACCAGTGCCACCCACACGCCGCTGTCCCGGCTGCCCCGCAGCCATCGAACCACAGAGGCCAAATCAGAACCGAGTCACAAGCTGCCAGTGACGCTGGTGGCAGTGTTAAAATGTCACTGTSACTTTTCATACAGAAGTAATTTGTTAATAGCAGACTTTAAATAACCACTAAATATTCAARAAAAAGTCTCTATTTTATCAAAAGTGAGGGAGAAGGGGAAGCCATTTTTTTCCCTACAACGCTCCAGAGGAAGTATTTAAAGCYATATTATGTACAAATTATTTGCATCAAGTTGGCAAAATAAATGTGAACTGTGAACCTGATGAGCTTAAAACGATTGACTTGTAACTTTTGAAACACAGTATCTAAGGAATAATAATAAACCTTAGGAGCATCTTGTAGCATAAATGTCTTGCAGTTATTTTATTCTTTAATTCTGATCTGTGAGTTCTTCACATAAAATTCTTCTGCTTACATCCTTTTTGTAAAGGTTAACATCAAATATTTATTCAGCTTTCCGTGCTCATTACAGATGATATGACCATCACCTAGCTAAAGCAGAAATGTTTCTTTTTCATTCTGGAATGGTCTKTAGTAGCATCAATTAGTCTGTTTTAGATGATGAATGACAACGGCAGTACTGAGACACTGGAGTTCATAAAGCAGTATCTCCAGCCACTATTGTTCTGCAGCAGTAATGCAATAAAGGACAGAGACTACAGGGAGCAAAACCAATTCATAGCAGTGAAAAATCATTAAAATACCATGAAGTTCAAATTAATCCCTTCTTTCCATTTCACTTGGTTGAAGAGAGATATGAAATTTTCTAAAAAAAACCTACAATGCCAGCTCCAGTTCTTACACCATTTAAAATTGAGCAAGTAACAAATAAAGATAAGCAAACATGAACTGAAGGTATAACATTTGAAATGCTAAAACTAATCAGTAAACCCAAACATTAAAAGCTGTGATTGGATTCTGCACCTTTCCTGCTGTTACACAGTGGTTACATCTCTCTGAATCGGTGAGTGCAGAAGTACTGACAGCAGTGCTGCCTCATCAAACTGCTCCACAAGGAAAACCCAGGGCCCAGCAGCTCTTTAATTCTACTGTAAAATAGAGTCTTATTTTTCAAAACTGGAGCAATGTAGGTATTTATGCTGTGCAGGTGGATCCAAGTACCCACACACAACACAACTGCAATCAATCAGGTTCAGTGCAGCTGCTTTATCTGATCTTCCCAGAAGTTTCAGACCTGATAGTCAAGTTACCRCTTTGAATAACTCAGTATCGATGAATATTGTATAAGTTTATGTGGAAAAGATTTATACAGCCAACTTTCAATTCATAAGTTTGAAGCTTTGTTTGTTTAGTTTTTTTAAATCACCTATATACTTGTTGCAAAGTTTTAGAAGCATATATGGCAAAGAAACACAAAAGAATAAAAGGTAGTAAGAGGCACAGAAAGTGTGTGAAAGAGGAACATTCTGCAGCTGAACAAACAAAGCTTTCACAAATCTATTCCGATACTTCAGTGTACATTTTCCACCCTCTATTTTAGTAACAATGTTTATGAATTTACATTTAATATTTAGGCAACCCAAATCCTGACCAGCTGAATTTCCTCCCYCTCGAAGTGATACTGTCCCAGTCAGAATTCTCCAAGATTCCCTCCAAAACATCCCTTCATTTAAGCAATGGGGCTAAAAAAAGTTTCATCCTTACTGGATCACTTCCCAACTTTTTATTTTTTCATGCTTTATGATTTGTCTTTCTCATGCTCACAAGGATGCAATGAGCACAAAGGGAAGTTTTTTCTGAAGTCAAACTTTAGCAAGATTTAATCTTTTAAAACAAATCAAAAGATTGAGATTTATGCTGTTACATACCTAGCATGAGCTAAGTTCTGGGTGCTGATTAAATACTCCCCTATCTAGCCTAATCTATTCAGGATGAATAGAGATCCTGAATTTTTCAAACACTGCCCAAAAGGGAGATACTTAAAACTAAATCACAAGTTACAGACCACAAAATGTGAACAAAATTTCTRTAAAATTAAGTAGTTCAAAGTTCTCAAAACTTGGGAAACCTATGAATTTGTTTCAGACTGTATTTTAGTATCACCACTGGAGATGGGTGAGAAGAATCCATACAGCAGCATTTAAAATTGCAGTTATTTATATTTTGCACCCTTCCTTACAGCCTTGTGCATAATGTCTTAACAGCATATTCAACATGTCCTGCAGCAGTGGCAGCTGATTTCCCTCAAACACACTTTTTCCCAGCAATGCTGAATCCTTCAGCAGCCACTSCATTAAGTGATGGCTGCAGCAATCTGCCTTCTAAAGTATCCATTTTCTCTTGGATGTTCCTTCTGAACTGTGCCTKCAGAAGCAGCTGGCAGGGACCGAAATTACAGAAATACAAAGCCAAGTGGACAACCTTCCTGTAACAAGCTGTTCCATTCCCCTGCAGTTTCTCTTTTATATTCACTTCCAGTTGCACAGGTGACATTTTTAATAAACTTAATTTCAATAAATATTTATAAATTTTTGTTTGTGCAGCTGAAGGAATTCCAGAACTCYGCAAATGTCCTGGGGACATTGCAGTGTAGATTAGTCTCTATTTGACTTTTATTAAAATTAGAAATCTTTTTTCGGCTGTTGTGTAACTGGTTCAAGTTCTAAAGGAAATTAAGAGATTCTACTTTTATAACCACGTACCTTTAAAACAACGGGCAATGCACTGTTTCCCATCAAAGCTTCCCAAACCTTTAGCAGGTCACACCTAAGAGCGATCTCAGCCCCATGCATTTGGGCATCTCTAAACTCCCCCCAACCAACCCCATGATCCTGTGTTAATGACTGTCCTAGCACCACCAGGGCTTGGGGTGCCCGGGAGCCCTTCAGCTGCTCAGGGCAGCCCTGTCCCTGGATAACGTCCCTGTCCCAGGGGCTGTGYTTGGCACTGCCCTCCCCAAGGGCAGCAGGCAGGAGCCACTCAATGCTCCCTTGGATCGAAGCACTCAGGTGATGGAGCAAAACAGCCAGGCCTCATTTGATTATGAATTGGACAAATTTAAATCCCAGGGAAGAGAGTTGCCAATCCTCATCTAAAATTTCAAACACGGAGTTTTGGACCAAGAGTAAGAATTCAGTTTCGCACATGAGTAACATACAACATGCTATAAATGACCGTTTGGGGAGT